GAAGCTCAACCATTGTGTGAGAACAGACCTCATTGGTTGTCACAAGTCAAGCATGAGAGCTTCTTTTTATCTTTTTTTGTGGCATGTGATCAGTTGTGTAGCCATTACACTGGCTACGTTTACATGCAACCAAATAATCAGTTTGTAATCGGATTGACGGCTCAATCAGACTGAAAAGCCTTCATGTAAACACCTTAACGGGGTCATATGATGCAATTTCAAGTATTCCTTTCTCTTTGGAGTGTTACAAGCTGTTCGTGCATAGATAAGATCCCTAAAGTTGCAAAGACTAAAGTCTCAAACCCAAAGAGATATTCTTTATAAAAGTTAAGAATTGTCCACGCCCTCCTAAAACGCCTCGTTTGAACACGCCCCCACATGTTTACGTCACTGTGTGGGAAGATTTGCATAACGCCACCCAAATGTTCACGCAAAGAAAGAAGGCGTAACTTTTATTCTCGCTGTAGTAGTGTTGTTGCCGCCGCAAGCATGTCCTGGAGATGCTGTATGTTTCGTTGTGAAAGCGAAACTACTTTGTTTGGTCTTCCAAAAGAGGACGAAATCCGCTTTGTCATGCCTAGAGCTGATCTGTGCTGGTCGCTGAGGAAATACTACAACTTTGCGCTGTGGATCGCCGGATCGGCTTTCACCATGGACGAAGCGGAGTCCAGCCCGGGGTCTTCACATATGGTTGCCGCAAACCCGCCGGCCGCTCCTTCGCCGAATCCGACCCGCCGCACCGTTTTCAAACCCGCCATGTGTGACGCTGTGTGTGTTTCGTTGTGAAAGCGAAACTACTTTGTTTGGCCTTCCAAAAGAGGACACAACTAGAAATCAGTGATAAAATTGTATTTACAACACTGTTCCAGAACAGTTCAAACCAAATATTCAGATGTGTCCAGCGCATTTTATGGAGGACTGTTTCCTGAACCTGTAGAGTAGCCTACTATGCGTCTGTGTGCAAAGGCTGTTTCTATAAAGTGGGGCAGTTCCAACTTTGCAAGGACAGTCTGGCGCTTCTGACTCACAGCCTGTAAGTACATTTTTTATATTTAGAGAATTTGCCACTGATGATTCAAACGCAAGCTTTGAGCAGTGTAGAGTAGCGCTTGTTGTTTGTATCTTCTCCGATACGCAATGTGTAAAAAGACAGTATAAGTCATTATAATCAGTAATTATGTCCCCACTGGATGCAACAAATGCCTCGTTTGTAATTGGCTTTATTGGTATTATCTCATCGCGACACGCCATCACAGTATGGTAAGGGGCGTAACATTTCCGTCACACACTGGAGGAATTCAGCCAATCACAACGCACTGGATAGCTGGCCAATCAGAGCACTCCTCACTTTTCAGACCGATGAGCTTTGTAAAAATCGACACATTTCAGAAAGGCGGGGCATAGAGGAGCAACAATAATGTACAGTATGTGGAAAATAATGTGTTTTTTTAACCTTAAACCGCATAAACACATTTCATTACACCAAATACACAAAATAATGTTCTTTTTAGCAACATCATATGACCCCTTTAATCGATCCAATTGAGCTCGATCGGAATGAAATTTCGATCAGATTGAAGGGGGTGGTTTATTCCTTTTCTAATACGATTGAGAGTGCATGTAAACACTCGATCGGATTGAACCCTGAAACTGAAAGCACTGCGCATGTGGAATGACGCAGAAATAGCGTAATGACGTATGACTCGCGGAACGAGCGGTTCTTCCTTTTGAATAGAAAACTCCTTTCACTCGGCAACTGTGAAGTGGAGCAGGAGTCCTTGTTTTGGATACTCATCCACAGGCAACCCGTTTTGGGTGTGGGAAGGGGCATTTTTACTGCGTGATTAAATATGAGCAGCATAGCGGTTTATATGTATATTTATATTAATAAATATTAATTCGGCTGTTAAAATCAAATAAAGAAGCCATGTAGGAGAGTGGTTATTATGTGTAAACAGTGAGAAACTCTATATTTGTGCAGTGTGCGCATGTAAAAATAAATAAATAAATCAATTCCGATTTGAAGCTTGTGACATAAACGCGCACATCAACCCGATCACTTTATATAGCGTTCATGTAAACCAGGGGTGCCCAACCCTGCTCCTGGCGATCGACTGTCCTGCAAAGTTTAGCTCCAACTCTAATCAAAGACACCTACATTTAATTTTTAAGTGATCCTGAAGACCCTAATTAGTTGCTTCAGGTGTGTTTGATTAGGGTTGGAGCTGAACTTTGCAGGACAGTCGATCGCCAGGAGCAGGGTTGGGCACCCCTGATGTAAACACTACATTCAGATTCATCAATCGGAATGAATTCAGTCCGATTGAACCAAAAATTGTGCATGTAAACGTACTATAGCCATTAGCCAAACACAGTCATGTCTATTGGGCAAACGATACAATGATCTCCTTATTGCAACACAATTTATGTAATCTCACAAATACTTTTTGTGAGACTAACTAACAGTAAAAATATGATGTAAATATGAGACTCATTGGTATAAAGGGTATAAAAATAATTCATATTTTAAACTGAGGAGTTAGTTTTGAGTTTTGAAACTTGCAGTATATTTTTTATTGTATAGAGTAACCTGGTATATGTGTAAATATCAAGAACAAAATGACCGAAAAATGTTTTTCTTTGTGGGCATTGACTTCCTTTTTCTTCATAAAATTAAATCACTGCAACACCTTTTAATCCTTTGTACTCTGTGTCCCTTAGGAAGTCCATGATTCATCTGGAGTTTTAAATAATGTGGTAGAGGAATTGGTGCATTTTCGGAGTAAGGTTCGCAAATTTGCTCTTTCTGTGGAAGATCAAGCTCCACAAGATCCCCACACTGGCTCTGAAATTCAGAAAAGGCATCCACAGCCAGACAGAGTGCCCTTGCTGAAGGACTGTGATTCCTTAAGGAATAATCTAGCACCCCTTGGAGTCCATATTAAGGTAAGATTTCATCATATTAGACTAAGTGCAGAAGAGCGTCTAAAGGAAAATTCATGGTTATTATTTAAGCATGGTAAACTGTAGAAATACCTTTTGATTTTCAAAAACCCAAAGGCATAATTACAAAGTAATTAGACTTCCTGAGATTTCTTAAAGGGGTCATCGGATGCACATTTTCCACAAGTTGATATGATTCTTTAGGGTCTTAATGAAAAGTCTATAACATACTTTGGTTAAAAATTCTCAATGGTAGTGTAAAAAACACCCTTTTTACCCTGTCAAAATCAGCTCTGTTTTCAGCACACCGTTCTAGTCCGTGTTGCTTTAAATGCTAATGAGCTCTGCTGACCACGCCCCTCTCTTCCGTGGGGTGAAGAGCAGACTGTAAACTTCAGCTGCGAAACTCACTAACTAGCACATATTAGGAAAGGCGATTTGCAAAGATTCATAAAAAAAACCTTATACTCACTTCTGTAGATGAAGCTGGATCATGAATGATTCACGCGAACTTAAACGCATTTAGGCAGATCGGGCATCGGCGCATTCCTTTCAGAAACGGAAGTAACGTTAATCCTCTGCGTCTTCAGCGGCTCAGATTTCGGGAGTAAATGACGACTACTATGTTCATTGTTACATCCAGCAACAAAACACCTCAATCACTTAATGGGAGACATTCTTGTCTTCCCCTGCACCGGAGTCGACACAATGGCGGACTGATGGCAGCTCACTCAGGGCGGGTCTAAGGTAAGACGCTAGTGTCAATCAACTATCGTGGGAGTGGCCTGTGCAGAACTAGTCATTCTGACAGGAATCTCAGAACCGCCTGATTTGAGAAAGGGGATTTTAAAATAGGGATTTAAAAAAAAACACTGGGTGGATTTTTATCATTATAGGGTGGATGTGTACACACACTTCCAACACACATTTATGTTCAAACAACAACAAAAGTGAATTTTGTATCCGATGACCCTTTTAAAAGTCACCAAACATTTATCTACCCATATAATGCTAATTTTCCTATGCATGTTCTTTATTGATCCCTTGAACTCTTGTAAGACCATCCAGCGCCTTCTGAGAAAGCACATTGCAAGACTCACTGGTTTACATTGCTAAATTTTGATTTTGGTTTCAGGATCGAGGCACAAACTCCACATGGGAAATAACAAGAAGAGGAGAGACAAGGAAGGATTAACCACTTTCTGAATTGGGACCAAACTTTATCTATTAGAACACAAACTGTTTGTAGCATCTCAGTGGTGACTCTTTGTAAAGCTTTTCTTCTCTTCAAAGAAATTAGTTTTGCTGAAAAGCCTTGCAAAAAATTATTAGTTCTGTAATGCAACTAAAGCTGTAACACCGCTAGTAATCGTAACCACATCTTGTGTCTGATAATAATGATTGTAATTGTTAATAAAACAACTCTGTTCTTAGTTTAACACTTAGTTTAACAAATTTTGTATGCTATTTGTCTCAGTAATGGACATTGGGACAAACTAAAGGACATTTCTCAACCATTCTGATAGAGAAATTACTTTTAAGTCAAGGATCGTGGTTGACCTTCACTGTCTGATGATGATCATAAAGGAATATGGTATGCTAACCATAGCAATGTTACAAGTTGGAGCAAAGTTATACATATTATTTGATGTTTGTTTGCTTGAAAACTTGTGTGCAGTGTCCGTTTCTGTTCACAACATGATTTATGGTTTTTCTGGGAAGATTTGTCCTTTGATATCTGAATACATTATGAAGATGCTCCCTAAAGACCTCTGTCATATGTTTCCTCTTTAAATGGGGAAGAATAAAGATAAAATGTCAGTATAAAACAAAAGACTGTCATAATATTTATTATGAATTGGTGCAAATGAGATGTTGTAACGTAACATTCGTAAATAAAACAAACATAAATAGAATAGGAAGAATAAAGATTAATTTATAAGATCCAAGTGATTAAAAAAAAAATCTAATCTCCTTGCTTTGGTCTTCTGTGTGACACATTTGCAGTTTAAATCGGGACTTTTTTGCATTGTGCCATTGGTTTTGAGTTTCCTGTTTCATCATTGCTAGAAGTGAACTTTCAGTGGGAGCAAAGCACTGATGCTCTTTTAAAAGGACCGTTTATGTTCATGTTTAGGCACGAACAAGTCCATCAACTCGCCAAAGCCCAGAAGACCTGCTGAGATCGGCTCCTTAAGTGTTTCTGCAATACGAGCCGAAATTAACAACCACCAAAAGAATTTGGACGGGCGCGTTTGTTATGGATAGTGGAGTTGGAAGTCTATAATTTTGAGATAATCGTTTTATCACTGAGTTTTCAGCCTTAAACCCATGCCTGCTCCTGGGAAAATGAGAAAGCCTGATATTAAAATTGTAATCCTGGGAGACATGAATGTAGGGAAAACGTCCCTCCTGCACAGGTACATAGAGAGAAGCTTCAAGGAAACTTTAAGCACAATCGGCGGAGCGTTCTTCTTGAAGCAGTGGGGTCCCTACAACATCTCTATCTGGGATACAGCGGGTAAGATTGATTTTGGCCAATACAACGGAAATAATCAGATGCAGAAACCTGCAGTTAAAGGTGCTTATGGAAAACGTTTAATTAATATAGTTATTGTTTCTAGAGAGAGTAACTATATATATATATATATATATATATATATATAAAATTTTCGTGATATTTAGAATTTGATATTTTGACTGGGACAAGAGTTCTTCCACCTGTGATTATGTTGAAATCAAGTGACACGCATAGTCTTGTAAATTCCTGAATGTCCCTGATCCTATGACATGGAACATCATTAATCTAAAAAAATCTAATCGAGCATGATCTGCCAAAATTAACTATATTTTGTGGACAATATTTTATTTTTATATTTATTTATTTTTGCCTCTTTTTATCTTTTGCCAGTTTCTAAAAGCAGTAGCCTAATTGAGAAAAAAAGGGAAAAGATTACTCTGATATATTGCATCAGTGACTGCAGTTGTCTTGTGTTCTTTGCAGGATTTTGCAATCTTGGTAGTTTCAGCAATAATGTGGAAATTTTTAGTCCTGAATGTCCCTGATCCTATGACATGGAACATCATTAATCTAAAAAAATCTAATCGAGCATGATCTGCCAAAATTAACTATATTTTGTGGACAATATTTTATTTTTATATTTATTTATTTTTGCCTCTTTTTATCTTTTGCCAGTTTCTAAAAGCAGTAGCCTAATTGAGAAAAAAGGGGAAAAGATTACTCTGATATATTGCATCAGTGACTGCAGTTGTCTTGTGTTCTTTGCAGGATTTTGCAATCTTGGTAGTTTCAGCAATAATGTGGAAATTTTTACACGGAATTTTAGCAGTCATTGATAGGAAGCATGTCTTCATGCACATTTGCTGAATGAAAGCAACAGATCTAAATGTTGTATTCCATCAAACTATTTAAACTGTGTGTGTGTTTAAAGACATGTTAAAGATTAAAGCAAAAGGATAGGCCTATTTGATTGTTCTGGCCTTTATCTAAACATGTCGATGAGGGTAACATGTTTTTGTTGCTGTGATCGTATGGCTCAGCTGATAGTAATGACTTTACTTCCTGTCAGAACCTGACACTGGCTGCATTGTTAGCTGTTGCTGTAGCTCATTGATTTTTTGAGGTTGTTTTCACATAGCCTACTGCACATTGCACACACATCTCATTTTAACTGACAAGGAAAACAAACAACAGCTTCTTATTTAACACTAAAATGACTTTAAAAAGTTGTCATTAAATTGAAAATTTAATTTAATTTAATTATTTCAAATGTAATTTAATTGAATTTAAAGTATATAATAATATGCACAATTGTTGGTATTTAGATATTTAGTTATTTAGAAGGAGTATTCTCTTTTAACACTTAAAATTGTATAATTGTACTGTACATATTTAACCCCTTTTATTAGCCCCCCCCCCCCCTATTTTTGACTGCCCCTCCCCCACACCGGTGGGATGTTTGCGATTACACATTTTTTAACGATAATATCTTGGTCTAAACCTAAAGTAATTTTGACAAACTATATATAATTTGAAAGGTTTCAGACTCTAGTTTTCATATTTGGTGACTGTTTTTCAAAGAAATGACTGAGCAATAGATACATAGCGATAGATTCTCCATTTGTGATGTGGTGCCAAACACACTCTTATTCTATACTTATGTGTTTTAGAGATTGAATTCAAATCAAATATTAAAGTTGCTGCCCAAACTATATCTGAATAGGATGTCTACTTCATAAATATTTTGAAAATTATGGAAATGTATGGTTCAGAACACTTAAATAATAAATTAAAATCAGAGTCCCTGTATATCATCTAGTGGAAAAGTTTGGTTCTGCATCCACAAAATCTTACTGAAAAGTAAATTTTTTTTGAGATATCAACCTAAAATTTGGCTCAAAACTTGTTCAGATGATTGGCTTGGATTTTTTTGAAGATTTGGAGGTAAACATGTTTTGTAAAATGTATATTTTATATATAATATAAAAAAATATATATATTTTTATATTTTACATTTTCATAAAATTAAACCTATAAGATTTTTTTTTAAATAAATTTACTTCTACAATAATCTGTGATGTTTCACCTTTAAAAAGATACCAAGCTTAAGTCTGTGCTCCAAAGTTTTCAAGATTTATAACAATTTTAGCTGGAAAAGTCATTTTTATGTCTATGCTCAAAAAGTGGGACATACAGTTAAAAGGCCAAACAGTTTTGTTTTCACAAATTTTGAAATTAAAAAGTTGTTAAACTCATCAAGACGCTGGCACTACGAGGCACTTCAGGACTAGAGTTGAGGAGCTCTGACATACAACAAAGGAATTTGTTGTATTGTGTCTGTGTTGTATTGTTGAATTTGTGTCTGTAGTTGCTTTTGAATGGCTGCCTATGCGGGTCAAATTGACCAGTGAACATCACAAACGTATAAACATTTCTGTATGTACATTTCACAACACATCAGCGTGTTGAAACTGTATGCATGCTCATGACCCTAAATGAGAAAAATTTCAAGAAAAACAACATGGGTTAAATAGCATTTCAGATAGACTGAAAAAATAAAAGATAGCAAATTTTTGCCACCTGTGGCTGGCGAAATAGTTTTCTGCATTTGAAATAAGTGGGGGAAATGCTATTATTTTTAGCTTCATAGTATAGTAAAAAACTAAAATAAAAAATATAAGCAATAAATGTTATCATTTTGGCTCTGTAGAGTTGTCTTAGAACATTAAAATTGGCGGGTCAAATTGACCCGGGAACAGTACGAACGTAACAAAATTTTTTGTGGACATGTCAAAACACATCAGTGTGTTGAAACTTTGCATGCATGTTCATGACCCTAAATGAGAAAAAGTCACAAAAGGTCAAGAAAAAAAACATAAGTTAACTGATATTTCCGACAACTCAAAAATCTAATTGGGTCAAATTTACCCGGAACAGTACATGAGGGTTAAACTCAATTTATTAATGCTTGATAAACTTACTGTGGCTGAAAAACATATTTATTTATTTTTTCATTTGTGTCTTTGTTTAATTTGTCATATTGTTTGTAATTGGTTTCTTTATTCTTATTTTTAATAACAAAAACAAAATAAAGTAACATAAATAATTATATCGTCAAATAAAATTCTGATAATATTGCCCACCCTTACCCCCATATGCCAACCCATTTTTCACATATGCTTTGTAGAAACAAAAATTACATCAGTAAAGGATTTACGGTACAATGCAACTCCAAGGCATTATTTAAAAGCAGAAAGTTCTGTCAACATTTACTCAACCTTATGCACAAGCACAATTTATTTTCTTTGTTCTGTGAAAGCACAAAAATTAAGCGTTAATATTACAATCATGTTACATTTTCACATGTGCTCTTTTCCATAAAATGAAAGTGATTGGTTTTCTGAAGCCATAGATGAAGCCATAGATGTAGCTATGAGGAACAGAAATTTCTTCAGAAAATTCCAGTGACCCCATATACATGTTCAGAAGAAATCATGACCTTGAGATGGGGTTGAAAAAGCAAAATTATTTGATTTCATTGTTAGTGTGCTAAATGAATAGATTGGCCTAAATGTTCTTACTTCATTAAAGAGTAACCCAAACATTACAATTTTGCCATTATTTACCTACTCTCATGTTGTGTGACACATATGCTGTCATTTATTTCCATGTCACACAAATAAGAATTTTTAAGTCAGAAACTGGACTTATCGGGTTCTTGATTTTAATTTACTGACTCAGTGATCCTGTCACAATAGTTTTCAAGTTGACAGGTCATTAGAGGGCAAGATTACTGAATAACAACTTCAATTTCATTGTTTCTGCTTTACTGTGGTTTTTTTTCTTCCAGAGCTTTGCGGTACACTATGAACAGTCATGTACTGTATACAGTCATGAACTGTATATAATTATTATTTTCCAAATAGATAGATAGATAGATAGATTTTATGTAAATAAATTGCTAAATGTAATTTATACCAGTAATGCAAAGCTGAATTTCATCAGATTGATTTCATTGTTAGTGTGCTAAATGAATAGATTGGCCTAAATGTTCTTACTTCATTAAAGAGTAACCCAAACATTACAATTTTGCCATTATTTACCTACTCTCATGTTGTGTGACACATATGCTGTCATTTATTTCCATGTCACACAAATAAGAATTTTTAAGTCAGAAACTGGACTTATCGGGTTCTTGATTTTAATTTACTGACTCAGTGATCCTGTCACAATAGTTTTCAAGTTGACAGGTCATTAGAGGGCAAGATTACTGAATAACAACTTCAATTTCATTGTTTCTGCTTTACTGTGGTTTTTTTTCTTCCAGAGCTTTGCGGTACACTATGAACAGTCATGTACTGTATACAGTCATGAACTGTATATAATTATTATTTTCCAAATAGATAGATAGATAGATAGATAGATAGATAGATAGATAGATAGATTTTATGTAAATAAATTGCTAAATGTAATTTATACCAGTAATGCAAAGCTGAATTTCATCAGATATTATTCCAGTCTTCAGTGTCACATGATCCTTCAGAAATCATTCTAATATGCTGATTTCCTGCTTAGGAAACATTTCTTATTATTATAAGTGTTAAAAACAGTTGTTTTGCTTTTGTGGAAACCCTGATGCACTACAATTCAAAGGTTTTGTGTTTTAAAAGATTAAAAAGAGATTATAAACTTTTATCAGCAAGGCTTAAATTAATCAAAAGTGACAGTAAATACATTTATACGATTTATTTTTCAAATGCTGTTTGCTTGAACTTGCTATTTATCATATTTATCAGCACAACTGGTTGCAACATTCATAAATAATAAGAAATGTTTCTTGAGCAGCAAATTAGAATAATTTCTGGAGGACACTGAAGAATAAAGCAGTGGCGGCTGAAAATTCAGATTTGCGTCACATGAATAAATGACATAAAATAGAAAAGTTATTTTAAATCATAATAATATGTTGCAGTATTACTGTTTTTATTTTATTTTTGATCAAATCATTTCAGCCTTGGTGAGCAGAAGAGACTTCTATCAAAAACATAAAGTTCAAACTTTTGAAATGTTGACAGTTTTTAGTTTTTTTTCAACTGCTTACACGCAAAATCTTTACTTGTCACACAATTTCTGAAACCTGACACTCAAACAGGACAGTCAACCACACACCAAATCTGCAAAACCATACTAATTCTCACCCTTTGACTCGGTTTTCAATTTTATAAAACACTTTGCAAAACACAACACACAATTCTCTATGCAACACACAAAAACCTAACAGGAATTAATATTATGTCAAAGGTGTTTGCAAATGTTTGCTTTTGAGATGTGTTTGTGATATTTTGAATGCAGTGTTTCATTTTGCAAGAGATGTGATGCATTTAGAATTTTGTGTGTGCAATTCTTGGATTTGTGTGTAAAATTTTGAAAAAAAGAGGCAAAGTTTTGAAAATGTAAGCAGTTGAAAAAAACTGTAATATTTGTATTTCTGTGCTTCTTATTTCATCAGGTCGTGAACAGTTCCACGGTCTAGGCTCCATGTATTGTCGTGGCGCTGCAGCCTTCATTCTCACGTATGATGTCACAAACTGGCAGAGCTTCGTAGAGCTTGAAGATCGCTTCCTACCTCTCACTGACTCGGCCAATAGTGACAGCATATTTGCCATTGTGGGCAACAAAGCAGATCTCACTGACCCTCAAGCCCATGTTATGACCCTGGAGGAAGTCAGGGCAGAAGAGGGTAGTGTGCTTCCCCTTCCATTCTTTCCCACACCTCCAGACTTTCCCTTGCACAAACAGGTGAATCAGGATGATACCATAGCACTGTACAACCGCATAATTCGCTATAAGGCACTAGAGGGCACCAGCCCACCAGCGGAAAAGATGTGCTTCGAGACAAGTGCTAAGACTGGATTTAATGTAGATATTATGTTTGAGACACTCTTTGATCTGGTGTTGCCATCCATCATTCAAAAATGCTCCCAAAGTGAGTCGCCAATATTGTATTTGGAGGACTATAATGAAGAGGGGATGAAGAGCAAAGGGGATTGTTGCACATGAAAATATTTGCAGAAGAGCATCTGGAGTCTTGCATGAATGTCCATTTATTTATGGACGTTGTTATTTGATCTGTTTTAGAACTGTTTACTGTCAGAGTAAATATTGTACATTGTCAGTGAACAAGTGCACATTGTTATCTCTGTTCTGTCTCATATGTCATTGAGTGTGTGTTTGTATGTGTATCTGTTTGTATGTTTGAGATAATCTTGTTTTCACAAATAGAATTTGAACTTAAGTTACTAGTGTTTTGGCCCTCAAGTTGATCACTTGCTTCTAATATTTTATTTTGAATTAATTTACTGTGATTACATTATACAAATTTGTGTTTATATATGATCTTTAATGACTCTTGACTTATTTAATAAAGGTTTATGAATATCAGTTATACATACAGAAGACAGTGTACACTCTTAAAAATAAAGGTGCTTCAAAAGGTTCTTCAAGCGATGCCATAGAAGAACCATTTTGGGTTCCACAAAGAACCATTCAGTCAAAGGTTCTTTAAAGAACCATCTCTTTCTTACCTTTTTGTAATCTGAAGAACCTTCTTTCACCACAAAGAAGCTTTTGTGAAACAAAAAGGTTCTTCAGATATTAAAGGTTCTTTATGGAACCATTTAGACAAAAAAGGTTCTTCTATGGCATCATGAAGCACCTTTATTTTTAAGAGTGTACACAATTGCAGAAAACAAACCCCATTTGTGAACAGATTGTTTACACTGTCAGTATTTCCTTTTGGCTTATATGAGAGAAAGATTAATGAGTAGTGTTGAGTGTCATATTTATATGTAATTCCATAAATGTCTTAACAGCTGCATTATATTTGCAACTATCATGTATTTACCCTAACATTTCCAAGAGAATTGTGATGTTTCACTCTCTGGGGTTGTCTTCTGCTCCTGCTCAGATTCATCAGTATAACATTTGGCCTGAATTAAATTTGTAACACACACACACATACTCGCCGCATATTAGAATCAGACTCATATTACACATAGTTCCTTGCAAAAAAAAAAAAAGTATTGTTTCAAAAGGATATGAAATTAAATATAGGATCGTAATTCAATGCAATGTGACAATATTGCAATATGGTATTAGTTTATTAGGTCTGCATGAAACAAGCTACTGAATGTAATTGCCAGTTTACAAAATATATTTTCGTCAACTGGTTGTTTGTTCTTGCTGTATCTTATATCTCTTAGGTTAAAGTCCATTGTTTATTCTTATCAGAAACATGCAGAGTGGGGGAAGGGAAGGGCATGAGTCTGTATGAGTCTTTTTTTAGTACGTTTAATTAAGAGTTTGAACTTCTGTGCAAGACTTGTACTGTAATTGTCAAAGTAATAGTATAATGTCCAGAGTTTGAGTTTACATGCATGCAAGTTAAAGCTACAGTCCCTAACGTTTTTGGTTAAAATTATCCAAAATCATTTTTTGAGCAAGTACATAACCAGCCAGTGTTAAAAACTATCGCCTTGCTTTAGCTCGATTCACAACGGTAAGCTTGTAATAAAGTTTTCTAAGTTGAGTGGTACGGGTAGGTTTTCACGGGGAATTCGAGCATGACACTGCGTCATTAAGTCACATCTGTAAACATAAAGAAGTTGTCCCAGATAGTCGCCTATGCTATATCGCACGTGAGGATGCTGCAGGTGACGGATCGTTTATAGCCTTTTCTCACAGCAGCTAAGTACTAAAAATATTTATTTAAAAGAGAACGAGTTGTAAGGAACTTTAATTAGCTTTTTGGGTTACAAGAACAATTTCTTTATATGAAATTCGAATGGTATGACAATTAGAGATTAGACTGCAGAAATTTAAATCTACAGGTAACGCTAATACACACTAAATACACACACTCATGCAATGCTGATGTTATTAACGTCAACAACAATTTGAAAACAAAGCATAACAATAATTTATGCATTTAGCAGACGCTTTTATCCACTACAGTGCATTCAGGCTATACATTTTTGACCAGTATGTGTGTTCCCAAGGAATTGAACCCACAACCTTTTGCGCTGCTAACACAATACTCTACCACTGAGCCACAGGGAACAGGAACATAGTAATAATAATAGGCACGGTTTGATGTGATATGAGCTAACCGATCCTTTGATTTAATCACCATTGATAGCGCAGTTTATTGTAATGCTTTTTTCCTCAGTTGATCAGAACAAAGTGGCAGTTGTTACTTGTTCAGATGCCATTCTCCAATGAAAACTCTTATTTGGGTCACACTTTCAAGATTTTCAAGTACAGTATCCACACCAGTGCAGTGACTGACAGCCACACATTAGATTCATCCGCGCTGGAGCCATGTGCAAGGAAGATAATTCCGCAAATAGTTGCAGTTGCAGGTTTTCAAACAGAGATGGCGACAAAGAGGCAAAACTTACTGACTGCAGCTTTAAAAGATGTGCTTTATTAAAGATAAGATTTACCTTTACACTCTGTGGCTATACAGACCAAATAAAGATGTGTGCTGTCTCGGACTGAATCCAAGAAAGTCCATTACAAGGTCTTACGGGACATGGGAGTTTAAAAAAAGTAAAAGCCTACACACACTAACCCAAACACATCACAAAGAAAAGTTAAGCAGAAACCTTGAATAGTCAACATTACAGCATGTTTTCAGAATTGGTTCAGAAAAGTTTTACAAAGAGGTTGTCTGAAGCAGGTAGAAACCACAATTGTGTGATGCATGGTTACTTTCACATAGTGGAGGTCCAGGCGGCCCCACGCTTCTGCAATGGCAGTATTGTTGCTCAGGATACAGACGGCCTTCAGCACCTTAGCCAGATCTCTTCCAGGCACAACATTGGGCGGCTGGTAGTTGGTGCTGACCTTAAACCTTATCGGACGCCAGTCTACGAACTGGATGGAGCGCTGTATCACGATTTTGGCTTTGGCACCATACAACAAACTGCAGGCCATGTATTTTCCATAGCAAGGGTCACACCACCATCTGGTTTAATGGCACAAAGGAGAGTAGGTGACCAGTGGGAAGTGAATGCCAGGGTACAGAACCAGGATACTCTGGAACTCTGTGAGGAGTATGTTTAGGCCACCAGCAAAGAACATTGACGCCGTAATAGAGGGGACAATCTGGGCGATAAGCCTGTTCAGATTGGTTTCGCTTGCAAATGTCATAGAACGCTTCATTATCGACCATGAAAAAGCAGTCAGAGTGCTCAAGAATGGTGTGATAAGGATCCAGTTATAGGGCTTCTGCTTCCAGCAAGAGTTATCTGGGAAACTGCTTGACCATTATGTATGGAGATGCCCTCCCTCTAGTTCAATCAATGCAAATCACAAGCACACACGTTAACGGCAGTTAAGTGATAAAGCAATATCACTAGTAATCCAGTCAAATTTACCATCAATAATTTCACCTTTGTACTGAAGTATTACAGCAAGCAGAAATAAACTCATAGCCTTTAATCCTGAAAATATAAAAAAAATTATTTCATCCCAGACTTCACTGTCAAAATGATTAACTGTTACTATTCTAAAAGAAAACAACTCATCTCCACAGCTAGACCAAACTAGCCAACTGATGTTATTTATATTGATCTCAAATCAGTGGGGTGTGACTTTAAATGAATTCTACCTGAGATAATGCTAATGAAGATAATTAGTCTTGTAGATTACAGCTCATTGATCTCTTATTTAGCAACAATAACATCAACAGTTTTCAATATCAAAATAACGGCATTTTATTTGTATAAGGGAACGTATTTTTTCTACTCCTGTGGGGTGTAATTTGTGCTTTTCCCTTTCCTCTCAGGGTAAATGGTCATCAATTAAGTCTGATGGTAGGTCTCTTGCAAGAAATGATCATTCTTTTTATCTTATTTGAAATAACCTTTCTACAGAGGCCTGTACCATGATGGTGGCTGAAAAAACTCGGGGTTACAGGATTAGTTTTGAGTTGACAAAACCAAACCAAACCAGTCCAATCCGGCTTTGTTGGTACCATGAAGCTCATCATCAACTTTCTCTGTCAACTCAGGCTTGATCTTGAGTTAATGGAGCACATGCACATGAGTGACATCAGTATTGAACAGCCAATCAGATGCCTTGAAATTGTGATTCATTTCTTGAGAGAAAGTCAGTGCCATTCACTACCAAAGATTAAAATATTGAAAAATATGAAGAATTTAAACACATTTACAAGATGAAACGATCTATCCATGAAAGAGGAAAACATCTTGCCTTATAAGTGCAAGTAAACGTTGTAAAGTTAGTTCATAGAGTTGATCATATTTATAGGTATAAAAACACTAAGCTCATATGTAGTCATGTTTAAAGCTATTGATTCTAAAACTTATTTATATTGCATATTATCTATATGTTTATATTAATTTTAAATAAAAGCTTAATAATTACTATTGAACTAAGCTAGCTTGTGTAATGGATTAAGGGTATAATAATTGTATAAATCATATAAAATAATTATAAAAATAATCATCTCTAAATTCTGACAATTGTATCTTTAAAAATGTTTTACTATGTAGCGTCCTTTAATTTGGAGTAAGAGAAACTGGGGGAGTGGCTTTATTGCATCAGACATGTGTCACTTTGCTTGAAGCTGATTTTTTGCATTGAGATCTCTAAACCAGAACATAACCTGCCCCAGAGCAGGTTAGCTGTGGAGTGTAAGTTACTAAGGCAATGAATGCCACTAAAAGCCAAGACACTTTCATGGTACCTAAAACCCAGGATTGGTGCAAACTAACCTGAAACTTACCTGGCTAGCCAGCTAATCTGGCTTCATGGTACAGGCCCCTGGTCTCAAGGTAGGTAAACATTTAAAACATCTTTGAGCATTGTGTTAAATTTGCATACATCCTACTACAAACTAGGTAAGTAATTTCAAATTGCCACAGTACACTGACATCATAATAGGTGTACTGATAGTAACAGTGTAAGAGGTCACTTGTAAGAAATGGCCATTACTTTTTTCTGCTCATTTAAAACAAAAAAAAAAACCGCGATCACGTTCCAGGGGAGGGTCCCCCTTGGTAAAAAAACGTGTCCC